CACTCCCCCCCCCCCCCCCCCCCCCTCCCACAAATGCTAACCTACAAGTCAACCTCTTCCAATCTCTCTATCTCTAGCATTATCTACCCACTAGAACCTCCACTCCACTTCTAATGGGTGTAATCGTCCAAGGAAGATTTTAGTTCCTTCACCATGCCAAGCCCTTGCTGACTATAAACAATCACTCAAACTGGACAAGAATTCCATGCCTCACTCATTGTCTCATTAGCACCAATCCATACCAAAATAGGATAAAAAGAAAGAGAAACAGAGCTGGGAAACATGGTTGGGGTGATTGAACAAGGGAAAAAAGGGCTTGCTAGAGGGTTAGTTAAATACAAACTGTCTATGATTATTTGGCACATGGGAAACAAGGATTCAAGTAAAGCAAAAGCCAAAAAAGAATAGGTGATTTCTCTTAATCTGCCTGAGCTTTGATGCATAGAGTCACCCAAATATAAATACTGCTGGGATGCAGGAACCCAATAAAATAGTAAAGGTACACACGTACTGGCCATGAGGACAGGGCAAAGAAATATCTAGGCTTCTAAGTTCTAACTACGTACATGCACAGATTTCTCAGAGAAAATAGCTGTGGCAGTTCACTAGTAACAAGAACTGTCGAATAAAATAGGAACTAAAGCGAAACACAGTGTCAAGGGGAGGGAAGATAAGCTATTCCTGATGTATCAGGAAAACTATCATCAAATCTGACATAATTTTGAGAAGTTGTTGTAAAGGGATGGATTAGATTCTTCTTAAGGTATCACCACAGTCACACTTATTTTCAAAGCCTTGAGTTCAGTTTCTTCACAAGATGGTTCCTACTGTCATAAAGATATTGGCAGTCCAGAGAGAAGATTCAACAGAACCTTAAAAGGAGCCAACTAACAAATAACAAGAATTGTGTTGATCTTTCTGTTCTAAAGAAGGGACTTGAAAAGGCAAAAGTATTGACACTGCGTAAGGGACAGCATGGAATTGCAAATCTATAATATGTCAACAAGAAGAGCTACGAAAAGCAATATAAGTTCTAGTGCCTAATCTCAAGCTAATTCTGAAGAGACAGAACTTAAAGAAACAAATACCTGCAAGCAAATGGTATCACATACTGCTGTAGATCCAAAATTACCATCATTGCCTTCCTTCACTAATCTTGGGAGAAGTTTCTTGAAGTACATTTCCCATATTGTGACATTGATATTTATTGAATCAGCAGCTGAGTGCAGAACCTTTACAAATAAATTAGAAGGTTTACTCATGAGTGGATGACCTAAATAAGACTGGATTTTTTGATAAAATTATAGGGAAATACTACACAACTCATCATCCTATAACTGAAGCAGAAAATCCAAGCTCAATGTACATGTCCTTTCAATGGACAGGACCCAACACAAAACTTACATAGAGGACAGATAAATCATTCATTTCTTGGTCTGTACACTTTGGACACAGTTAGGGAAGAAATTTCCCTAGCTTATCGCAGCATATATTTAGCATCCAGCGCATCATTCTAGAAATTCAATGTCTGATGATTATTATTACAATATAGAAAATAGAGACGTGTATATGAGTTATTAAATTTCTTGGGTTATTCAGGGTCTTAATGGATTATCAAGGTATTGACCGATGCATGTTCAATATTGAAAACAAGTGCAAATCACAATGCAATGGATATTTCACCTTTGGATACTGCATGGGTGGCAACATTGGCTCAGGTAATGCTTTTGGGAAGAACGGGTGCTCATCAGGGCTTGTGTATCTTCCAACCTGTAAAGCTATCCATCAGAAAAATATGCAAAGAAAAGATATATTTTATCCACACAAGCTTAGGATGAAAGTACCTTCGCATGAAGCTTTTCAGTTTCTTTGACAATATACTCAACCAAAGAGCCATGGAACCCGTCCATCACAAAAACATCAGGATCATATGTCTCCGCATTGAAACAGTACTGAGCTCTCTCCACAAGGCTGAATATTATGCTATCTTCTTGTCGAATTAAAGAGTTCCTTATACCATCAAGAGTGTAACTTTCTGTCTCATCTATTCTCTTTATTTCCCTAGGAAAAGAGCAAGACACATCAGAATACATGTTTTCTGAGTTGTAATTACGGCACTAAAGTATTTTAATATGAAGTTAGGTAATGCCCATCTTGTCCATCTCTTTAATATGAAGGTAAGTAATGCCTCCACACTGCAAATA